ATATATATATATATATATATTATATATATAATATATATATATATATATAATATATATTATATATATATATATATATATATATATAATATATATATATATATATATATTACAAATACAAAGACTCTACTGTTTGTGAGACATTTTGGGGCACTATTCAAAAGAAAAAAAGTTTCATGTAAGTGGCTTGGGAAAAACCTGTAGGTTTCCTAAAATTTATTTCTGTTTGTTTGTCTTTTTCTCATAGAACTGGTGTATATGTCAGTGAAGGTGATAGAATTTCATCTACGTCACGTTTACGGCTTGTCTGTTGAGTAATATCTAGTGATATAGCGCTGTTATTTTCTGGAGGTGCAATGGTATTGGTAACTGAGGATTCTTTAAGTTCGACATGTTCAGGATTTGTACTGTTTTTAAAGGAAGTAGATTGCTGATTGGAAAACTTTTCTATGGTGTCTATTTAGAAAGGAGTGTTTAACGATGTTAAAATAGTTGGAGGTGTGGGTGATTGTTGAGAGTTTGTGGGATTTTTACAATTATTAGCATTATGTTCTTGCTGTTTGCAGTTAAAGCATTACTGATTATCTTGGGATAAGAAAATTCGATAGGATTTGTTATCGTAATTAATCAAAAAAGATTCGGGTAAAGGATTTATAACAGGGTTGATAAAAACTTGTATTCGAAAACTGTAAATATGTTGAATTCCGGTAAGGTAGAGCTAATACGAAGAAAGGTCAATGATGACATTAGCTTGAGACTTAGTTTTTCTAATTTGTGAATAAGAATATCATGGAAAATTGAGGGACACATTTGATAGAACTAACCTATCCGCTGGAGTAATATATTTTCTAGCTTGAACTGGTTCATCATTTATTATTATTACACCATCATGTACCTGCATAAATTTATTCACAATTTCTTTGCTCGCTAGATACATGCATACTCGATTATTTGACAGTACTGAAGAAAATAAGATGTTTTTGGACTGTATAAGTGCTCCTAGTGGTATGAGGTAGTCCTGTAGGCATAATCAGTCCTTTGAAGATAAAACGATCGCTTGTTTAGGACTAGAGGATGTATGTTGACTTAGAACTTTTGAGTAGGATTTAACTGTGTTGATATGTTGTGGTACAGCGCTAATTCCGTTGGAATTTCCATCTGATGTTACGGACATGATGAATCCTCTATATGTGATCTTAATAGGACTCTATTTTATATATGGATAAAATAAAATAAAGTCCGACTCTGTTTATTTTAAAATTAGTTGATCGATCTGGTAATTACCAAATTACCTGAATAACGATAAGAGTACAACTAGTTTTTTGGTTTATTTTGTAACTACAGTTATTGATAGAATATGTTATTGATGCTTAAAACTATTATTTTTATCAAACTATGATTAATTTGAAAGAAGTACTTACGGCACTTAACAAATCACTGTAAACTTCTATAAATTATCACTTTTAATTATTTAAATTTATACTTTTTCATTTAAAAAGCTATAAAAGTTGTGAAGCTTAAATTAAGTCGACTTTCATGCCTGACATTCAGGGCCGGAGTCCATGTCTAAGGTTTCTTCATTCATGCATTTTAAGATTACTATAGGGATTTCGTCTGGACCTACTGCTTTGCCATTTTTATTGTTTTTAATGCTATTTTAATTTCCTATTTTAATATCTTTAAAACCATATCCTGTTCTACTTCTATCCCTTACAGACCCATGACAAGATAAGATTTTGCAGAAGGATACAATGTCTTGTTTTTACTGTATTTGGGTTGCAAATGACATTCAATTTTTTTCAGAATTTTTTAAGGACCCTCAGGACGTTTTTAAGGACCCTCACAATTGTGTGCCTTGGTTTCATACAAAACAGCCTCACAATTGTGAGATAGTCACAATTGTATACTCTGGGACTTAAAAACTTCTGAGTAAAATAAAGAAATAAAGACGATATTAAAATATTTTATTCAAAAATATTGACAGCAGATATATTGAACAACTTAATACATAATGTAAACATATATTACTTAAAACTATCGCGTATGAAATGCTTTGAAACAATTTTTGTTTTTACTTAAACATAAATAAATATTACATTTACTACAACGTATGCGTGAACGGCTTTGACAAGCTTCCAACCGACAAAAAAGCGGATTTTGTAAATCATCATTCAGAGGCCAATGCTCATAACCATCGTAACGTTTATCTTGTTCAGGTAATTTAACCGGAAATCGTTTCAGTTTCTTTTGCGGATTTTCCAATCTGTCTTCATTTTCTCCATCTTCGCTCCCTGCACCTTCTGTGTTATTACTTCTTTTAGGTCTTAAACCTCCAATCAGAAACTCTCCCAAAGCTATCCTGAATGACAGAAAATCCATTATATCTTTCCTGTGATAAACCATTAGCCCTACAGTCCCTAATATACTCCATCCAACTATTTACTATCGCCAAATCGAATAAGTGTAGAATTACTTTGAATGGCCACTTACGAGTTTTGAAATATGTTCTATATAATTCCATCATTTGGTCGCATGTATCGACCCCACCCATATTCTGATTGTATGTTTTAACAATATTAGGGCATGAAACTTCGACAAAACGTTTCTCAGATTTACACCATCGTTTTACTACGGCTTCTGGCTCGACACTAAGTGCATTAGACAACATCAGGACACCTTTATTGTCTTTCCACTTAACAAGACACATTAGACTATCACATCTAGTAAACTGTTCTGATTCTCCTCTAGGCATTTCTTTGTCATTTTTGAAGGCTGCTGGTGCTTGTAATCTGTTAATCATAACGGTACTCGTTCCATACACTCCAATTTTATTTAATTCCTCCATTAATGTTACAGAATTGAAATATCTGTCAAAAAATATATGACTTCCTTTCGGTAAAGTATTTGCGAAATATAATATGACAGAGGAGCCTAGGCCACAATTCTTGAATTTTGCGAACGCAGATGTGTTGCCTTGATATATTTCGAAGTCAGTCACAATACCTGTCGAAGTAGTCATTACAAAATTTTTCAAACCCACGGGCCTAGGTTTGTTTTTGACGTACTGCTTCAGTTCACATCTGCCTAAAAATGGTATCATTTGTTCATCGATTGAATAATTTCCCGTTGGTCTTTCAATTTCTCTACATCTTTTTCTAATAAAATCTATCATAGGTTGAACTTTCCACAATCTATTATTTTTTTTTTGTTTTCGTTGGAGACCCTGTTTTCATCTTCAACATGGAAGTTTGTGCGGAGTGTAAAAAAACGATTTCTTGACATCGTATCAGCTACAACAGGAAGTCTAAAATTTGATTGCCAGTACATACGTATTCGTGGATATTTAATGCATCCCAAAATTGCATGCATTCCAAAAAACTTTTTAATTTCTTCAGAAGTTACATGCGGTTTTAGTAGATTACCATTTTTGTGTACGTAGTATTGATTTGTACGTACTGCGGTCAAATCAAAAAATGCTTGTGGTAAATATTTATCAAAATATTGAAATGGCGATAATATTTCTCCAATATCTCCAACTACTCCATTTGAAACATCTACTTGAGGAAATGGTCTTTTCTCCCACGTAAAACTTTGCTCTCTTTTATGACATTTGTTGTTTTTATTTTCATGCTTTTTTACGATTGGATTTGAAGCATTACTTGTGGAAGCAACATTTTTATTTATCGAGTTATCATCATCAGAGTCACCATTTTTTGATTCATAAGTGGGACATGTAGGTTCAAGTATAGGCTGCTACTCATCGTCGTCTTTATTTTCGAACTCAAAATCGGAACCAACATCATCCAAAAGGTCGTAGATTTTATCTGGATTGGCTCGTATGTCGTCCAAGTTAATTTTGGAACTTGAACCTGTAACAAAAAGATTTAATTTATTTACACATATTTAGGTAAGCTACGTAGTCATTGAGACCCAAAGGTCACAATTATGACATTCATCTAAATACGGTTCTGTGTCACCAGATCTCAAACTTTTTATTAATTTTTTTAAAACACTGTAATTAATAACCATTTTACAATATGATCTCCATATCAACGCTAAAAATACACATTGAAAAATAAACAAAATAAATACTTACGTTTTGACGCCATGACAACAAATAAAACACTACTTTGAGAAACGAATTCTTCGTCGCATTTGCAAACTAACCCCACTTTCGCACAAAAACGTAGGTAGGCGGTATAACACAATCGAACGATTCAGGTCTAAACCAAGTCATAAATTATTTTGACCTTTATTTAGTAGTTTGTTATGACACTCACGATTGTGAGTACAGGGTCTGTAAGGGCTATCTCCATCTGTTCTGTTCTATTGTCTTTGAATAGTCCATTGATGTATTTTGTCCATCTCTTTAATTTGTCGTTAGTATTCAACACAAGTTTTCCATTTGCATCTTTCAGTATTCCCAATTTTCTTGTTCTATTTTTGTGAGTTAATTCTTTAATTTTTTTATGTTTGTTAAAACTATCATGTATTTTCTGGTATTTTTCTATTTCTGTGCATTGTTCTTTTAGCCATTATTCTTTTGCTTTCTTAATTCTGTATTTTATTTTTTTATCCACTTTTTTGTACATCTGATTATCTTTGTTCTTATATTGACGTCTTTCTTTCATTAAATCTAAAATTTCTTCCGTCATCTATTGCTTCTTTTTATATCTGGTTTGTATTAGAATTTCTTTTTGACCTTTATCTATTTCTGTCTTTATTATTAATCATTTTTTCTCCGTGTCAATATTTTGCAGAATTTTTATTTAGCATTCACTAATCCGTTGTTGATTTGTTGTTCTTTGCTTTATTATTTTCATTTTGAGCCTAATTTTGGTCACTACTGGGTTGTGATCTGATCCTATGTCGGCACTTGGATATATACTATAGTTATGGATATTTCCATAACTCCATAATCAGGTCCAACCCCATTTCCATAATCAGGTTAAAGCTTATTACACCAAAAAAGGCATTAATTATTTATAATAAAACGAACTAATAATGCTTATTAATTTATTGGAAAAACATAATAATGGTTTATAAAGGAATGTATGGGGGTGGTATGATAATATCTAAAGCACTATTAATTGCTACTCTCGCTATGTTTGATAAAGCAATTATGACCTTTTCCAAGAGATCTAAAAGTGGTTTATTTTCGCGAACAAGGTGACTAACCAATGTCGCTGCAAAGTCAGCGACTACCTGCAAAAAATATTTATATATTTAATAAAAGAATATACCTATTTTTTACATAATCCATCTATAGTAACAACTATTTGAAACAAGTTTACGCTTTACGTTAAGAGGACTGTGAAACTTTATGAAATCTTATTTGTCGTAAAATAATTCACTACTATCTTGCCTCATTAGAATTGCTGTTTTATTTATTTTTTTTTTTATTAGAAAAAGATGTCGCATCCACCAAAAAGGTTATGCGTAGGTTAAACACCTACAGATTGTACAAAATATTTCAGTTCCACTTAAGCGTCGTGGTTCTTTTGATGACGTCTTGAACTCCTGATCTTTGCCTGATTTGTTGGTTTGTTATGTGGTCTCAAAGGCTCACGTTCAGCATTGCACGTTCCATGGCTCGTTGTGTAACTCGGAGTTTATTCGCAGATTTTTGCGTGAGTGTTAAAGTCTCTGCTCCATAAGTTTGAACAGGCAAAACACATTGGTTATAAACCTTTTGCTTGAGACACATGCGAATTGAACTTTTTAGAATATGGCTTAATTTGCCAAATTCTGCCCATGTTAGGCCTATTCGCCTCTGTATTTTATGTGTTTGATTGTCTCTGCTTATTTTGATTTCGTGTCCCAGATATTTGTAAGTGTCTGTTTGTTGTATGGTATTATTGTCAATAGTTATATTTCCACTCATTACGAGATTTGGTAAGTATTGATAAGTTTAGTTTTTCTCAAATTTTATCTTTGATCCTGCTCTTTCAGACAGACTTTTAAGCGAATGCATCATAGAAACTGTATCATGTAAGTTATCTGCGATTAATACAACATCATCAGCAAACCCTGAGTTATTTAAACTTTCTCCATCTACATTGATACCCATATCTTGCCAATTAGTGCTCTTAAATATTGACTCTAGAGCAGCTGTGAACAATTTTGGTGAGATATTGTCTCCTTGTCTAACTCCTCGACCTAAGCTGAATTTTTCTGTGTCTTCGTGTAGTCGTATACTCGATGTAGCGTTGTAGCGCTACTAAATGTTTATGTATCTGAGATAATTCACTATATTGTCACAGGAACAATTTTAAACTAGAGCCTCTGGTAGAGCGTTTGGGATCTTGTAGCGCTGTCTTTCTTGGTCATATTTAGTACAATTTATTAAAAAGTGTTCCAATGTTAATCGGACGCTATACTGATCACATATAGGTGGATTTTATTGTTATTGTTATATTGTTATGTTACCAATGGTAGCGAGGAAAGATAGATTTTGTATTGTATAGAAGAAGTTAGCTAATAGTAGTTACGAACTGTAAAGTGATAAGGGGTGAGTGTAAAATGATAAAGGAAAGAAAGTAGGAACCAAAAAGTAAAGTGTTGGAAGTTAAAGGATAAGGATTTGGCAATAGTCTTTAAGAGAAGAGTGATTGAAGAGTTTGAGAAAAAAGATTTGGTTAGACTGGTGGGAAGCCAACAGTAAAGTTGTGGTATGAGTGGGTTAGGAAGTGCTAGAAAAAACATCTGGCAAAGGGCCGTCTAAAGAGAAAAAACTTGGTGGTGCAACGATGAGGTGCACCAAAAAATAAGAGAGAAGAAAGAAACTAGAAGAAGGTATGACAGGTCTAAAAGAGAAAAAGATAAGCATACATACAAGGTAATAATGAGAGAAGCAAAGCGCGTTGTAGCTACTGCTAAGAAAAGATCGACTGTAGAGCTGTATGAAGAGTTAGAAATACCCAAGGGCATGAAAAGGTTATAAATTACTGTTAACGCAAGGCACAAGTCTTCAAAGGACTTGACCCACGTGCAACAGATTAAGAGTGCATTCTCTAAAAAATGCTACCCTAAATGTAACTTTTCGTTGGACTATACAAACAAAATTAAATATACATTGCAGTATGTGAATTAGCACGAGATAAGTCACCAAAGGGACGAAGAAGTATTGGCAGACCAAGAAAAAGATGGTACGACAATTTAAACAATTTAGGAGGCTAATATAAAAATATATAAAGAAGAAACATGCTTTATAGCCTACATACTAGAAGGAAGAAGAAGAAGTCTGTGAATAATGGATTGTGTCAAACGCTAAACCTTTATGACGAAAAATATACATGTTATATTTTTATATATTCATATACATATTTTAAAGCACCACAACTTATTTAAAAACACTAAACTTACATCATAGATATCCCTATTAGGAGGCAACATAAGCTTAATTACTGATCCCAAACCATAATATAATGTTCGTAACCATTCCTGAAAATCTGGAAGTAGGCTGCGTTCTTTAGAGGTTATTTTAAATGTGTCTTTTAATTCACGAACTCTACAAAAAGAAATAAACCAAACAGTGCTTTTGCAACAAAGACCGTTATATACAGATTGAACGAGATAAATTTGGAACATACAAAATATTATATATTTCGGCTCAACTCCGCTCTAGGTGGTTGGCCAACAAAAGGTTGTCAAATAATTATATTATAAAAATCCAATACTTCAGCGGGCTGCTGGATTCTGAACGTATTCAAGAACAAAACAAAACTCCACCCAAATAGGTTGCCCCGCCCATCACGTATAAAAAATTGAAAGCTACACATAAATCTAGGATTTTATTATGCTGTCAAACCACTTATCGCTTCTCACAGATGAATAGTTTGAGCAGTGTTGCCAATCTCATTCCTCTAGATGTTTCTCAATTAAGGTGTTAATCATAAAATATTTACAGGAAAGAAAGGAAATAACTACAAACCATTAAGATTATTTTTGTTATTAGTCTGTTATAGTCGATTGGTAAATACAATGAAAAATATAGGCAAATATCCGATTTATTTAAAGATACGAAGAAGATATAACTCTCAAAAAGATCCGCAAATCGGATTATTACACGGCGATTGGCAACATAGACTATAGTGCGTCCTAAAAGGAGACAGATAGTTGAACCATATTTTATACAATGTCTATCACCGGGTATGGATTTATTTTTGTCCAAGTTTTATATTGGTCCACTATTTCAAATGCAGTTCAAATAGACATATATTAAATTTTATGATCCGTTTTAAATTCGTTCAATCTGTATATATATATATATATATATATAATATATTATATAATATATATATATATATATATATGTGTGTGTGTGTGTGTGTGTGTGTGTATATATATATTAATATAGAAGTTTAAATAAAAATTTTTAATAAAAATATAGGAGGTAGCTGTAATCTCCATATTTTAAAATTAGTTATAGATATACATGGCTCTTTATGTATCATCATCATCATTATCATCCAGCCGAATTTTCACATCTATTGTTGGATATAGGCCTCCTCCAAACGTCTCCAGTTCTCTCTATCTTTAGCTGCTGCAATCCAGTTTGTTTCTATCCTCCTTAGGTCGTCGGTCCATCGGGTGGGTGGTCTGCCTCGACTTCTATGTCGGCTCTTGGTCTCCACTCCAATAATCTCTTCGTCCATCTTCCGTCTTCCATTCTAGCAACATGTCTTTACGTATATTTCTAACCAATTATAATCAAGCAGCTACATGAGCAACAACTACGTTCAACAAGCGATTAAACTGCATAAATTCAACGTCCATACAACAATTCATAAGTGTCATTTTTAAATGTTTGTACAGCGCTAGGCCGTATTTGCTTTATTATTAAAATTTCATTTAATTTTTTTTTTGTACATGAATATGATTAGTAAATATCCTATTTTATTTGTCCTAGCCGAACTTATTTTTCAGATTTGCATTTATGATAAGACTTTCTTACACCTGAGAGACTAAGTTAGATAAAGCCCTAACAATTGGCTCCCTTCTTCTTCTTCTTCTTCAGCCTCAAGTAATCCAACTTTGGACATAGGCCTCCCCCAAATCAATCCAGTGTGTTTTATTTTGCACCACTTGCTTCCCATTGTGTCCTCCGATCTTCTTAATATCATCCGCCCATCTTATTTGTGGTCTTCCTCTACTTCTCTTTACTAACCATGGTCTCCATTGTTGTATTTCGTGGTTCCATCTATTATCCTTCAGTCAGACATTGTGTCCTGCGAAGCTCCATTTCAATTTGCAGCATGTTCTCCTGCGTCTTTTACTTTCGTTTTGCTTCTAATCCATTTGTTTGTTTTTTTGTCTAAGTCTTACCCCGAGCATTGATCTTTCCATCGCTCTTTGTGCTTTTACTATTTGATCCATGTTAAACTTGGCGAGTGTCCACGTCTGTGAGCCATATGTGAGTACACGATACACTAATCGTAAATTTCCATGAAGTTTAATTGTTACATATTTTCTCCAACCTTTAAAAAGATAGTACACCGCCTCCTTTATTACTCACGAGCCGCCACTGCATAGAAGTATCCATAATCTATAGAAGGATCTCATACCATCAACATCAAGTTTCCAGAATACAACATCTACAGGAAGGATCACGGAATCAATACAGGAGGAACTGCAATCCTAGTGAGAAAAGGAGTAACATACATTACAACAGACGCATCACTAAATACTATGGAACCTACAACAATAAAAGACACAACAATAGAGAAAATGTAAAATAAGGAGCACTTTAGTATAATGTGTAAGGTTAAGAGATTTTTCAAACGACGACGACACTGGAAGCGTTTCTGAACATATATAAGTACCGTCTATAATAATAGTAGACCTAAACACCAGATCCCCTGAATAGAACTATGGAGCTATAACCAAAAACGTTAAGAATATAATTATCTAGTGAACAACAAAGACACCATGGCAATTGGGCCCATCAAATCAACCTACTTTCCAGGAAATGCTCTACCAACCGATTTGGATATAGTAGTGGTTAAATAGCTAGGACTACAAACAGATATCCAAACCAAATCCGATCTCGTTACACATCGGCCGGCGCTCATCATTTCTGATAGTTCGATAATTACACATGTTATGACACCAATGCATACAAACGTAAGTAGATCATTGGAAAAGCGTCTTCAAGCCTTTGATAACGTTATGGGAGTTTATTTCGAACATCTTCAGCAATAAAAATAACAATTCCTTTATTTAATTTTTTACGTTTTTTGTGTGTCGCTTTAATTCTATATAGTAAAAATAAAAATAATGAATTTAATTTATAAAATACCCCTTTTTCCATTACAGTCTAAGATACTCCAAAAAAATTAAGTATCCTATACAAAATACTTTGACCGCTACAGAAGCATCGCTGTGACAAACTCAGTCAGTAGAATATATGGAAAAGTGAGTAAAGATAGAATATAAAATGAATACAAATATAGAAGACAAAAAACAAGCGGGATTTAAGGCAGGTAGATCAACTATTGACCATTTGTTCTCTCTTACATAGATTATTATGTTCATAGTTAATAGCCAATGTTCGCAACGGACAGGGCACTTGAAGAAGAAGAAGAAGAGGAAGAAGAAGAGAGAAGAAAGAAGAAGAAGAGAAGAAGAAGAAGAAGAAGAAGAAGAGAAGAAGAAGACATAGATAATTTAATAAAAGCTGCCGTTAACTAGAAAGTACTGTTTTAAACAGGGCTATTGACTCTCACCGACATTATTTAAGATTTGCTTCGAATAAACTCTTAGGAAACGTTAATGTAAAAATATTGAATTGCCGTTAAATAACAATACTATATAATGCTATGTAACAATACTATATAGAATACTATAATATATAACATTATTATTTGCAGGTGACCAACTATATGAATATATGGCAAGGAAATTAAACAAGGAATGTAAAAATGGGGGCTTAAAATATATATAAGAAAGGCAAAATATATGTATGTGTGTCGGTGGGATACGGCAGAACCTTGCATTGGAAGATGGAGAAATTATCATACATTTTGATAGATATAAATACCTGGGGTATAATCATCACAAAAGAAGGGAATATGGACGATACAGTAGAAGAAAGAAACAGTCAGGGAAGAAGAGCAATATTCATTCTAAATAATGTACTGTGGGATCAATTAAAAAACAAAAAAGTAACAAATGTAGGATATTTACGATTATTAAAAGTACCTACAGCAGTGATTTAACATAGATAAAGGTAAAATGCATGTTAGGATGTTTCGAAAAAAAAAACAGTGAGGCGAATCTATGGAGCGGTAAATGAAAATGGGTGTCTGGAGAAGACGATACAACTTCGAACTCTATAGAATATACTAGGAATCAGATATCGTAAAACACATTAAGATAGGACGTCTGAGGTGGGTAGGCCATGTAATGCGGATGGAGCAAACCGACCCAGCTAGAAAAACGCTCCTTGATTTTACTCAAAAAAAAGGAAGACGCAGATACAAGATTTCTAGATAACATAGACCAAGATATGAGAAATATGGAAATACTTGCTTGGCGGAGGAAGGCGATGGGATAGGGACGACTGGAAGAGAATTCTTGGGGAGGCTAGGACCCACACAGGGTTGTAAAGCAAAAATGATCATAATGAAGGGAAAAATACACATAAGCAACCTCATGCTAGAAGGAAATAAAGAAGACCTTGCCTCATTTGGAGAGAATGCATAAGTTTTTGTTATTTTTTTTTGTTTCTTCTTTACTGCTACATACCCACTATTTTTGTCATTATAAATGTCCATGTTATAGAAGTTAAAAAATACAATAAATTACTTACTTTTCAACAACATTTTTGCGCACATGCTCTGGATTTTTATGTAGTTCGAGTAACTTTTTCAAAGCGTCTACAAGGGCTGAAAAATTCTCTCTAAAAATAAAAAAATTATTAAAATGATTGGTAACTTTCATATATTTTTGAATATAAATCTGATGAGATGAATTTCTTTATTGTAATATGTACACATTATTTTAAATTTAAAAATAATTTTAAGGAGATGGTTCACTCGTCAGAGATTTGACCCCTCAAAATCAAACAAACAAGCTAAGTTTTGCCCAGAATATCAGTTTTGGGAGGCCTTAAAAAGGTGCAAAAAAGTTTATATAAAAGCCCCTCGTGTAGGGGTAATTACGAAAAAACTTTATTTACCAACAGACGTGGCATAAAATGTTTTTAAAGAAGAAATATAGCTAAAAAACTTTAAACAAAAATGTAAATTAGAATTTTTTCTGTACAATAAACCCTTCTCTCAGAAACAACAGGTAAAGAGACCGGTGATTTTGAATGTCAGGTATGTGCGCGAAATCAATGTTAAAAAAAAAATTGTATCAACTCGATAGTAAAATTCATATCTTTTATTTAGAGTGTCCTATCGAACAAAAATGCATTTTAAAGGTGAAAATTGTATATTTCGGGTGCAATTATTGTATTTTGTGGCAAATAAAGTCCGTTTGTCCGTTTCTATAAATCGGTTTTAACAACTACACATTTTTACTAAGAATAAGAATGTGTATTTGTTAGAAAAGTTACTATATTTTCTAGGGCAGATATTGGATCTGATCACCAACCACTTTTAGCAGATATTAAACTAAGATTAAAACGAATTCAGCGACAAAAACAAAAACTAATGTACTTAACTTTGACGATATAAACATAAACATAACATTAAAAAAGAATTTAACAATAGAATAAAAAACATCGAAGGACAACTAGAATATTCAAAAGAACTATGGAGTGAATTTAAAAACCAAGTTAACGAAATCTCCAACAAACAATTATTATAGAAAAAACTTAATCAAGAAAAATAAATGGATGGCAAATGACATCTTGAAATTAATGGAAGAACGTCGATTGATGAAATCTAATGAAACAGAATATAGACACTTGAAGAGAAGAATGAAAAAGGAGGTCAAATCAGCCAAAGCAAAATGGATGAGAGATAGGTGCAACGAAATGAAGGATGTAATATCTAAACACGACTTATTTAATGTGCACAAAGAACTAAAAGAAATAAGTAACTTATTTAAGAAAACAAGTTGGCTAAAATCCATCTTTGTCGAAATACCTAAAAAACACAATGCTAGAAAATGCTCAGAATATCGATTAATTAGCCTAAAAAACCACACTCTTAAAAATTTCCCAAGAATACTTCACAACAGAATTAGACGCAAATACGAAGAAGATCTCGAAGATACCCAATTTGGTTTTAGAAATGCTATGGATACCATGGAGGCACTTTTTGAGCTTAACATCCTATCACAAAAATGCCATGACCAATGTTTGAAAAAGTATTTGCGCATTCATTTTATATTTTTACAGTTAATATTTTTTCTGTTACGGTACTGTAATATGACCAAATTGGGGTGCTGTATTTCAATCTTTTAAAATATATTATTTCCTGTAAGTTCGTAAAACTCAAACTGGCTCTCATTTATCATGTTAACGTACGCAGAATTGGGCTTTTTCTTTGTATTCTATGTCAAAAAAGATTGAACTAAGTGGTTGATTTTTGGCACTTGCATCTGTTGACCACCCAAGGACCAGAGGGCGGTTTTTGCCACTTCTTCGTCAGACAACGATCGATCGACACGCATATAGTTCCGGACGGTTCTCGTGCTAAGCCTCGGGACGGCGACGCTAGCGTCGCGTCGGTATCACGACCAACTCCTCATGCCCAGTGACCAACTCTACAGCTTGGTACGAATTCATCAATAGAACCAAAGGGTAAGTCTATTCTCTGTATAAAACATTGATAATGAGTAAACCAGTTTATTTCTAATTTATTTCTACTTTACAATATTATAATTGCTATTTTTACCAATTTTATGTATCAACAATATCGCATTTGTTCGTTATAATTATTTATTCAATATAATTTAAACCAGCGACTTCTCAAGTTTAATCCTAAACAACAAAGAAAAGATGTATTTGCATGTTTCGTAAACTTCAAAAAGGCATTCCTAAAAGTACAGCATGTAAAATTAATGTAAATAGTCAAAAATATCGGAATAGATGACAAGGAGATTTGTGTCATTAAAATTTTGTACTGGAATCAAACTGCTATCGTAAAAGTTGGAGATCACTTCTTCTTCTTAGAGTGCCGTCTCCCTAGGGAGGTAGGCAATCATAATGGATATTTTTATTTTAGAACTTGGTGCTCTAAACAAATCAATCGATATGCATTGATACCAATCACGTAGAATCTTTAACCATGAGTTCTTCATATTTTGGTCCCTCATCACGTGGCCTAGGTATTCCAGTTTTCTGGTTTGTATAGTGGTGATTAGTTCTGTTTATTTAACATGCCTCTAGAGTACTTCTTTATTTGTAATTCTATCAGTCCATGATATTTTGAATACTCTGCGGTATAACCAGAGTTTGAAGGCCTCGATACTTTTTAAACTACATTTTTTTAATGTCCAAGTCTCAGCTCCATATAATATTAAAAATATATAATAGCGAATGGTACTACTAACCGACCGAATAACTACACCGACAAAATCTCCATACAACGAGGAGTCAGACACGGTTGCATCTTATCGCCAATATGGTTCAATGTTTACTCGGACCAGTTATTTTAAAAAGGCACTTGAGAGTCAAGCATATGGAATAAAAATCAACGAAGAACTACTTAAGTCGACTTTACACTACATGATTTTATCATATGACAATATATATGAGATTTGTTATGATTCCTCGTTTCTATGATATTTTAAAAAATCGTTGTTCACACTTAATGATAAGTTATGACTTATGATATGAGTGCCAATGAGGTTTTATTGATTTGTCTTTTTGTTTATATAGAGATATTAGACACGGTATAGGCACAGAATAATAAACAATCAGTATGCCCACTCTCCCTGGAAAATTAAGTACGCGCATCTCCTTCGCGCAGATGTTCCGCCATGTTTTAGAAGGAACCAGTGTTGTTTATGTGGTGTACATAGAAAAATTAACTTGGTTTAATTGACTTACGGCAATAATAGACATACTATACAATTTTATTAACATTGTTAAATATAATAACATTAATATAATAGAATTAAAACATTAAATATAAACAATTACATAACCTCACAAATCATATGTCTGTGTTATGTGTTTCCTTCTAAAAACATAGCGAGCGTGCTGAAAAACTTCAAAGGCGGCATCTGAGAGTGGACATTCTGATTGTTTATTATTCTGTGGTATAGGTAACAACTATTAGATTTTTAAACCATTATAATGGAAAATTAATCTTTGCTTGCATTGGCTTCCGGACTTAATAATACGCCTGGCAACACAACTGCGTATAGCATAGCTAATAGTAAGAAGAAAAGAACGGATGCCTCTGGGCTCGCAGGTGGCTCTAACGAAGTTTATAGTGGACGGGATATATTAAATTTAGGGTTGTTATTTATACCGAAATTAAAAAATAATTTATACAGAAACTAAACTAAAATTATGACTAAGTTGACTATAAAACACTAAACTAAGAATAAATAATAAACTAAATATATATAATAAAAGAAAAACACGTTACAATAGCACAGATTAGACAATAGGCTAAATATCAATTGCAAACAAACAAAAAATAAATAAATAAAGGATGTTGTTTCTAGGTAAGGGAATGTCGCTGAATTGACATAATAATAAGGCGCGATATTTGAATATAGGTGTTATTAACGCAAATCATATGATTTTATCATGCGGAATAGGTACCGTCCTAATCTCCTGTGACAAGCTATAACGAGCCGCATGATAGTGCTTATGAGAAAATCATATGACAAATCACACAGTGTAAACATGGAAATTTGACTGCATGACCAAATCATATGACAAAATCATGTAGTGTAATAAAGGTGTTAATGTGATTAGATATGCAGACAATACAGTAATTCTGTCAGATAATATTAAAGGTCTCCAAATTCTGCTTAATCATATTCACGAGCCAGGAGAGGAAATGGACATAAAAATAAACTTAAACAAAACGAAATTTAGATGGTCTCATGTCAGAGTGAACTATGTGCATTTTATTTGTTTTAACTTTTTCATTTCCATTATGAGGCAAACTTTTGTTCTAAACTTATGCCAAAACGAACTATGTGAATAACAGAAAAATCAGCTGGGAAATTAGTAAATTCTATTTAGCAAAAGGGTGGTAGTATGGTAGTCATATGCCACAGTGAACCATCATCCAGTCCAAGATGGCTTCCGTGCACATAGTTCACATCGTCATGACATTGTTGATGAAATTCTAGTGAAGATGAACACGCTGATTTCAGTAATGGGTTCTTCAGATGATTACCATCCAAGTTCTGATTCGGAGTATGACAGAATCAGGTAGATTAATAATATTTATTGCCATAAAACTTCATTATCAAAGTTTGGTTATGTTTTGGAACGTTTCTTTTGCCAAATTTATTTCTTGCAGTGTCCAATGGAAGTGCTAGTGAAATATGAGCAGTTATACCAACCTAATACACATAGTAGTTACTTATCTATATAAGAATGAAGCAATATATTCCATTAATTTATATTGGAATTGTTAAAAAAAAAATTAAAATCACATAGTTCACTTTGGCAAAAGAGAAACGTAAATTGTCTGTCTTATGCATAGTGAATGTGTGTGTTTCAAAGTATTTTTATGTTATAACATGATGAACAAAAAGTAGAATGGTTTAAAATATAAAACAAATGAAAAATTTACTCAAGACCATCCAGGAGTTATGGAATTTAAATACACACATAACAAAGAAATACAATTTTATTCAGTATATCTAAATATAGAGATTGAAAGGCCGACCTGTAAACCTAGTCTTCTTTAAACTTAAGCATTCTTTACCCGAAGGAGAAGAAAATTAAGTCAAGCAAAACTTAATGATATCAGA